AAAAAAAAGCGTGGGATGGCCGAGAATTGAACCCTGGCCTCTCGATTATCAGTCTGATATGCTACCACTACACCACCGAAACGGTGATTTGCAGTGGTATCTTTCGATGACATCCTTATCCATCACGATAAATATTTACAAAAAACTTCTTCCCCCAAAATGTGTACCCCCAGGGCATGTACCTCCAAAGTGGGATTTTTTCTGAACTCTGCACCCCAAAAGGTACATGTGTACGAAGTTTCAGATTTCTGACCTATCTGGAACATGGTTAGAATTAGCGTCAGTCAGTCAGTCAGTCAGTCAGTCAGTCACGATCGTCTATATATATTAGATTTAGGTAAATCCCCTCAGGGCACATATTTCTTGAGAGGCTCATTCTCCAGGATCATTTTCAATCCAGCAAAAGAGGGGAAAAATGAAGGAATGCAAGGAAGGAGCTTTTCTTTCTAGAGAAGCTTTTTTAGCATGACTAGCACCAAAGATAGCCCTTAAACCCTAAAGTCACTTTTCCTCCTGGGGCCTAAGTCTGGACTCACATATCTCGAAAATCCTTAGAACCAAAGAGATAACATATATTTTTCTTCATAAGTCTCGATTGCCACCATGCAATATTTTTTAAAATTAAATCCGCATCTGAAGCGCAACCACCCCATGACTACTTCAGTGGAATGCCTCCTTAACGAGTTGCGCTGGATGAGTATCAGTGCATCGCATTTATCGGTTTGAGGTGGATTGGTTCATGAATTATTTACTGAGAGCTGCAGGAACGTTCTGTCTGTATGCCTTAAAGTCGGTGATTGCTTTCGTATTCTTTTCCCTCAAAACGTTATTCTGTCTGGTGCTCCTTGTCTAACTGGCGAATTTTCACATTTTATCAGTAGTTGTCGAAGCATTCTCTAGTTACTGTGGGGTAGCTGTTCATTTATTAGTTTTGCATCATAACATATTGCATCTGTGTTTTAGGGGGCTTAGACCTTCATGATTCTGTTGTAACTTATCTGAGAATTGTTGAGGTGTAGGATAGCGGCCTAGTACTACATTTACCCTCTAATATTGTTATTTAGGTAAAATGTACTTAAACTCAGTCAGCAACGCAACGGGAGTAAAGGAACTTCGTGGAAGCCATTTTTGGATGAACTTAAAAGTCACGAAAGCGAAAACTCATGCCTTCGATCGACATTCACTCATCCTTCAGGAAAATTGCAAGTATTTTCTAGGACATTCAAGGAAACGTTTACTATCCTTTTTTAAAGTAAATGTCAAAAATGCACATTCTTTAATACAGCAGCTGGTTAGCAGCTGATTATGAAGCTCCAAAACGTACTGACGGCTATGCCGTCTTTTTTATCACCAGGTGCAAATATGAGCCACTGATTTGCAACTATCCACGAAGGAACCGTCTCACCTTTAATCTGGCTTCGTTAATATGAAGGGAAAGAAAAGGGAACACTGGAGTCCTATCAAATGTTCATGATAATGTCTTCATCAATATTCCTACAAGTGGGAGTTGGGTACTTCTGGTGCAATCACTTCCAACTCGGTGGCTAAATTATCCAGAGGGGTTTCCTCGTGGTCTAGCCCCTCTTCGTGATCAAGGCGGGGGTCTTCAACAGTTGGAATCAATCGAATTTCGAGACTTGGCTCAGATCCAGTGGAACGGTTTTGCTCGCTTCTGATGATTGGGCCCATAGTGATTTTTGAATGGGCAATTGGAATTTCTTTTTGGATTCGTGGTACCTTGGTTTCCTGGAGGTCAGCTTGTAATTTCGTTGAAGTCATCGGGAGGTAGTGGATCTTGGGCTGAGAAATCTCAGAGTTCACATATGTATGTGAAGTTGGAATTATATATTTCCATGTATGCATCCTGGCATTTCAAGGGTCGAACGTATCCATCATCCGTTTCAACTGGTATCATCTGAAGATAGTCCGTCTTGGTGCGAAAATACTCTACGTTTCTTTCCTCGTACGGCTTGTTCATTTCAAGGTAGTGCTACAGGAGAACATGACGTAGATATTATTCAAATATGGTTTCGAATCAGCAGTCGGAAGGAATACAACGCTCACCAGACGCTCAGACTCCTGCAGCATCTCGCCGAACCATGCGCTCAACGTGGGGAAAGTCGGCCGGTTGTTGGGGTCCGCAACCCAACACTTTTTCATGATCTGGTAGCTGTACAACGAAGACCGACAAGAGATAAAGAATGGAAAGGAGCAGGAGTCAACGATGGATGAAGAGGCAGGCCGTGGGAAATCCAAGAAAGATAGACATTGTCTCACATATGATCGTTGGCGAATTGAGGAGCATCCAAGCGATAGCCATCCTTGAGACGCTGGACGAGATCCTGGCCACTTATCCCAGGGTAGGGGGTCATCCCAAGGCTGAACATTTCCCAAAGTGTTATACCATACGCCCAAACATCCGATTGGCTAGTGGAAACCATGTTCCCTGTGAGGGACTCCAATGCCATCCATTTTATCGGTAATGGACCCTAGAATCAATGCATCAGTGGAAGCTGACAAATTTTGGATAATTACGACATAATATAAAAGACACAAGTGGAACTCACATCCCCTTTCATGACGTACTGATTGTCCCTGTGGATGTCTCTGGCAAGGCCAAAGTCACAAATTTTCACAATGTTTTCTTCAGCTAGTAAAATGTTCCTTGCAGCAAGGTCCCTATGAACCACCTGTAAAATTATGACAAATAACAATTGTTCTTTAGTACCCGAATTCATTATATTCGGTTACGCTTTTGCGTTTCCGATAATGGCTGTGTTGAACATTGCATGGTTTTTTTTAATGGATATTGCTTAGAACTTCGTCCAGATTCATTCTAAATAAGACGGTAACAATGGGAAAATACTTTAAAAATTGATTGCTTTGGCTCTTGAGTGGGGTAGGGCTCATCGGATACAAATGTAGGGGTGGCTACAGAATAAGAATTTCCTCGTCTCCTCCGTCTTTCACTTAAAACCTATTTTAAATTTTAATTTCGCTGCCACCAAAAAAACTGCAAGAATCTGAAACTCAGTGAGTGGCGTTACGATCGTGATTGCTCTTCGCTCCATCAAGTGATCGCATTAAACCTATTAAACCATATGTCTGACTACGAGAGCGAGCTGACGAATTTCTATTTTTCTTAATAGAGGGTGAAACATCGAAGAGTCATGGTGAGAAGGCCCACCTTTCGGCAGCCCAAGTATTCCATGCCTTGAGCTATCTGGTACGCCCACAAGACGAGATTGCCAGTCGTGAATCGTCTCGAGAGTATGCTTCCCTCTGAGGACTTCCGAAGGGCGTTCTCAGCCAGCAGAGGATTTCTCCAATCATTCACCCTCCCTGAGGGTAGATGATTGGTTCTTATTATGCATTCATAGCATTTAATGGTTGAAGAACAACAATGGGAACGATAGAATCTAAATAACAGGCAAAGTAATGCTATTGTGTTTGTTTGGTCCATTCCACTGATCCAGAATCTTCACTGGTATCCCGCCTTGGGTCCACAATTCATGGTGAACCACAATAAAAATAACACTGGGAGAATATGCTGGCTAATAAACTAAACGATTTAGTGCCAATGAATAATGCTTAGGGAGAGAATTTGGCCTTACTGTTTGGAGAAGCAGGAATCCTCGTGTCAGAGACAGCAGAATCCACCTGTAATCCACTGTTGGTCCCACCAGAGCCAGTCACCAGGGTTGCAGCCACAACATCCTTCAGAACTGGTTCATTGCTTTAAGGACAAGCCGCTTGCTAAGCGGAAACGTCTCGGTACTATAGGAAATAACTACATTGAAATAAATTTCTCACCCTAGAGTTCCATCTTTCTTTGCTTCCATTGCAGTATCATTGGAACGTGAATCTTCGGTGAGGAGCACCTGTTTCCCGATGTTGTCGTAGATTTTATTTACGTAAGGGTCTTTCTGACAGATGAAGTAATCTTTATTTGCCCTCAGATACTTATCCAGACTCCCAAAGGGACAATATTCCACGATCATCATCAGATTCCCTGAAATTGAGATCCTTTTGTTTTAAAACATCACAAGGTCAAATGATTGATTCCATATGAATCAAATCATTTTTTTCCCCAACCCGCTCCAATTTATATTAAATTCGGCATGTTGATAGTATCTATTGAGAAAATAAACGGCAGCAAATTTCAACTCCATGCATCATGCATTCTGAGTGATAGAAAATCAGAAATTCGACAGTTTTGGGGCACCTGGGCCCGAGGATCACAATACCTGTCATAACACCCTCAATAATGAAGATAAATATGTGAATATGGTATCGTTGGATAGGTCATAAAATTCCGTATCATCCAATATATATAGACGATCGTTACTGACGGACTGACTGACTGACGCTAATTCTGAAATCTGAAACTTGGTAAATATGTACCTTTTGGGGTGCCGAGTTCAGAAAAAATCCGACTTTGGAGGTACATGCCCTGGGGGTACACATTTTTTTTTGGGGGGGAGAAGTTTTTTTAAATATATATCGTGATGGAGAAGGATGTCATCGAGAGATACAAGTGTACGTCACCATTTCGGTGGTGTAGTGGTAGCATATCTGGCCGGTAATCGAGATGCCTGGGTTCAATTCCGGGTCGTTCCATGCATTATTTTTGGCTTCTCTTGCCTTCCATGTCCCGTTGCTTGAATAAAATGGAGAGAAATGGAAAGCTGATACGAGACATGGACGTGCCTCCTGCCTCCAGACACGATGAGTTCAGGAAAGATGAAACTTCGTTCATAATTACCTACCGGGATGCTGCGTGCAGAAAAATTCAGACTTTGGAATGAAATGCCCTGTGGGCATGAGTTTCAAAGGGAGATGTTTCCAACTAATTTTTTTGCATTAGTTAAAC